AAACCAAATAATTTTATTTTGCAATAATTATAAATACCATTTTCTTGTTTCATTTCAACTGATTTATTGAAAGAAATATGTTTTTACAAATAATAAATTTATAAACATTCGTTTTGTTATGGGTTTCAACCGAACCTGGAACAGTAACAGTAATAATACTCTATTTTGCAGTGACTTATACCATGTTCATATTTTATTTCATTTATTTAATAATTATATAAATGTTACATTATTCATTCCATTATTACTTACAAGAAATTCTGTCTGTATAAATAAGAAAGATCTAGATACATTCCTTGTTTGTGGGTTTTGATAGTACATGTACTTGGAACAACTTATAAATATATCGAAACCCAGGATGCTGCTTCTATAAAAAGTAATCATTCCACTTTCCAATCATGACATTTATCATGTTCCTGTTTCATGGCAGTGTATATATTGAATGAAATATATCTGTTCAAATGTCACCAGGTGGTGCCAATATAGCCGAATTTACATTTTAGGATTACTTATCTGCTACCATACTTGTTTACATTAATAAAATAAATTTGAAAATAAACTCAACATGTGTGGTAGAGTATTCAAAGGTAGAGTATTCAATGTATTAAATTTGGATTTAATTCTCTTTCATTTGAGATATTCTGTTATTTTCCCCAGCAGAATAGTAGTTTAACAATTGGTTAGTGTCATGATTGTCTCTAAGGAGACAATTTCTGAACATGTTGAAAAATTCTGTGAGAAAGTTCATAAAACACAGTTTGAAGTCACTGTCCTATTTCACAACAAAATATTGGCATCACTATTTTATCTTTGTGTGAATTCTTACCTTTTGACCGCAGGAATCTGCTAATGTGAATTTCCAGAAATCTCCACTCCTCCCCATACAGATGACATTGGAATCTCCAGGGGGTGGGGTAGGGGCCCTTAGAATAGACACACAAACAAAGTAAAATCATGTGAATGTTATTTGAAGCTCCCAGTTGCCTGGGGAGGGTGGTCTTAGAACAAAACCTACTATAGGGGGGAGGGGAAAGGTGTGGATATTGTATGGAATTTAAAAAACATGGGCAGTCTATAGCTCAACAATTTGTGATATGAAATATTCTGTCACTTCGTGAAGCTTTGGATGGTTGTCCAGCATTGTCTCTTTCTGGGATGCTGTTAGGAGATCATCGGCCTTCAGATAGTTGTCTTTGTATTCCTCCAAAGACACATTAAAGTTTCCCAGATGGTGCTCTGGAAAGATAAGGGTGCTTGGAAGTGCCTTGTAGAATTCTGTTGTCTTCCCCAGTTTCTTCACATGACCAATAGATGCAGTTTCTATGTCCCTCATATATCCCTCAGTTTTCTGTGGAGTTGGGCGTGAGCTAGATGGAAAGCTGTTAGAGACTCGCTTGGAACTGCAGAAAAGGCCAGGCAGTGTTAAAATTCTCTGCTTAACGTATTCATCTGGTACTGACAGTCGTACTGTTGCGCTGCCCTGCTTGACCTGCAAACACTGGAAAATAAATTGATATTTGTAATAACATATTTTCCAGCAAAAGTACCACAATATGACAGTTCTGAGAACATAAATTAAACAGTGCTGGGCAGAGATGAATCTAATGCTATCAATATTTTAGTTCTGTAGGTTCCTTCACAGGGTGGAAAAACCCAAATTATAGTGTTGTACTGTGTAAGATTCTTTTGTGCTAGATTTTCTGCTTGTATTAAGGAGGCTCCTACCAGTTTATACTCTCCAATCTTTTACACTTCATAAAAGCCAGCCTGATGGTGTGGCTGTTTATATTTTTTAAAACAAGTAAACCTTTAACAAGTAAACAAAGTGCAATCCAAGTGAACTCAAAATTTCATGTTGTGGTTACACACAAACAGGTCAAAAGTACCATAATTAGGATCCAGACAGAGCCCCCATTTTGAGACAGACATTTTTATTTTCATAACGTTTGTAATATAATATGGTACGTAACTAGAGATGATTATTTTTAACCGTGCTACACAACTGCAGGGGTGGGGCTATATGGGGGGTCGAATGGGGGAGTAGCCCTTTTCCCTGTTAATTTTTCTCATTTGCATTACAATGTAATCCAACATGGATGCGAGGCAATTTCGGGCTAAGACTACAAAATAGCCCGAAATTGCCTCGCATACATGCTAGAATGTATTTTAATGCAAATGAGCAAAGGTAACCGTAAAAAGGGCTATTGGGCTCATCACAGAGACATCCAGGAGACCCGAACGGCTCTTTTACTTTCTGAATGCCCTCTAAAATTTCAACTTTTTAAAGGTCATAGTGATTCATTATATCTAGTTTGGCAAACTTACCTCTTCAGCAACCCCACCGAAGGAAAGAAGTGTATCATGTAACGTGAGTGCATATCCCATAGTTGTCTCACTTAGTACTCTAGGCGTAGGAGCTGTAAGTTGCTGCGGGGCAATGTCCAAACAGTGCCACAAGATATGCATATTAAGTGCTAACCTGATAGCGTTCTTATTGGATTTTGCGTTGCATTCAGGACTGAAAGTTCTAGCAGCTGATTGCGATGATTCTTGATTTTTTCCCTTGCAGTATTTATAGTACAACTCTCTTGCTCCAGCGCTGAATGTGTACTCGATGATGTTCTCTTGAAGGTGTTCAACGTATATCTGTTCATATACAGTTCCCAAACTCTGCACAGCACTTTCTTGCACGAACTGTATGTGTTGAGAACATTTCGATTTCCTCCATTTCCCTCTGCACCTTTTCTTGGCACAGGACGGGGACTTTGTCGGCTAGGCCGTTTCTACAGGCAACATCCTTGGGCCAGATTTCTGTCGGAAATCGCCGTGGCGTAGTGAACGTTGACATGCTCATCCTTGCACTTTGAACTCCTACTCGTTTCCCCTTTCCCTTGACCTTGTACCAGTAGTCACCTTCGTACAGCTTGCAGGTATGCTCCAAGGTTAGAGAAGTTTGAGAGGCAGATTTGGAAGTACTGATTAGTTTCTGCAGGAACGTATAGCCTTCGTCAATGCAGAGAAGGGGTACATACGCTCTGTCGGTCCCTGTCTGACAGTTCACAAAATGTTTGAACAGACCATTCGAAGACGTCTCGTCAAACAAAATGCTTTGCTGGACGCGCAGCTCCAAGTGCGAAATGAGTGGTTTGACACAGGCGATATTACACGCTGGAGTTTTGCCTGCTCCAGACGGAGCAAGGCCAATAAAAAACAAATTACCATTTTCTCTCCAGGAATCGAACAGTTTTACTGTAGTCTCCCCAACAAGTGCTCCTGTACACGACAACATTCCAGTAAGCAGCAGGTCACGAGTTGTGCCATGGATCTTGGCGAAGATATCCAACCAGTCTTGGATATTTCGAGGGGCTATCTCATCCCAGGGAATCTTAATTTCTGAGAGTTTTGACTCTAAATCAGCGACAGATTGAATCTCTGCGAAAGAACTCATGTTGAATTTCGAAAACATTGAGAAAACGATTCGCAAAAGGACAAGGACTTCTATCGCGTTTGTGAAAAACTTCAAACAGCTTAAAAACCCGCGCGAAAAGGCAGCACATTGACATAAAAGGAAATATTGTAGTTAATAAGTTGTTTACTGTTAGTCTTGTACCATGGCCTAGGATTGAAGGGGCATTGATGCAATCGAACTAATGATCGATCGCTCTATTGATCTATTGATCCATCAATCTAACCAACGAATCATCAAACCATCGAACTAACGATCTATCGCTCCATCGATCTAACGATCTATCGCTCCATCGATCTACTGATCCATCGATCCATCTAACGATCCATGGATCTAATTATTTATCGATTGAGCGATCCATCGATCCACCGATCCAACGAGCCATCGCGCCATCAATCTATTAATTATTTTAGTCATAGAAGTGAAGTCACCAGTCCATCGAACCTCTTATTAGTTGGTCATAGAAGTGACGTCACCGGTGACTTGGTATATGCTGCATCAGCCCTAGTCCGCCATATATACACAGAGAGTGTCACTGATGTATGTCTGGGGAGTCACTGATGCACATATGCATGACGACAAAACAAAATGGCGTCCAGCTAGTGTGTTCTGAAGGAGAGTACATGCTTTTGTTTGCCTAGTAAAGGTAGGTAATATTTCAACAATTATGCAAATTATTAATTCCATTTTATATGTTTGTGGGACACTTTAAATTTAAAATTTGATCGAGCTAGCATGGATGAAGGGGCTTGTTATATCGCACTATTTTCTCGATTTGCAGGCGTTGTTTGGGGATTGAGCTCCTGGAGTTTGCCTTTTATTTAAGACAATAGCATTATTAAATTGCAAAGTTGAAGTCTTTCATAATGAAATGATCCCTGGGGAGGATGCAATGTGCAACGATTGTGCACAATTAAAGTTAAAACTTTAATTGGCATTCACGCATTGGCATTAACTTAAGCTTAAAAGTGAGGTGATCTAAAATTCTATGAAAACATTTGGGACAGTCCTCATTGGTGCTATAAGTTCAAGCATAAAAGATCAGGTCTGAGCTTTGTTTTTCTTGATCTCATCTCATGCTTATGTCGCCAGTACGTGGCTTATGTTTCTTGTGCTTATGTTATATTTCATCACTATTGCAAGTGAGTACTTATACTTGTGCTGATGCCTTGGTGCTTTTTACACCATTAAAAATCACGCTTAAACCTACAACGTTTACAGCATAATTTCAATTTCTTTTGGAGAAATGTTACAACACAGATTAGGCTATTGCATTTGATATCCATACAGCATAGATTGGGGACCTACTTTTTCTCATTTTGATTCACAGCAAGCCGAATCAATGTTTAAGCAGAGCAGGAATGTGTATACATGGCTTTCAAAAATGGGACTCATCCTCGGTGTAAAAACCTGTGAAGCTCACGAGTGACGCAAAACAGACAACAAAACATTATAAACAATAGCGTACAGCAAAACAATACCTCATGAAACAAAGAAAACCTCGTCAGGTTTTTACACCGAGGATGACCCAAAAATGGCGGCACAGTGCGACCGCAGTTTGAAAACTGGTAACGAGTGCATTGAAACGAGGTATCAAAGGCCTGATCAAAACAAATATCTTTCACGTGTAGAGCGATCAACTTGTCAAAGTCTGGAAGTTTTGTTTTTTCATCCTTTATAACGCTTTGAATTTGAAAAAATGCAGGCTGAAAAACTGAATCACAATGTGAACAACTCAAGATTTCGTTTGATTGGAAAATGGTGATTGTTTCAGGACAAATTTTTTCGTTGAAACAATGCCTACGCACTGCTGTGTTTCGGCTGCACCAAGAAAGGCTATCTTGAAGAGGGTAAAAAAATGTCATTTTATTTTCCCTACTGATAAATCACTGCGAAAGCAATGGACTCAGGCTATCAGGAGAGATGAAGGGAAAAACTTTCAAATAAGTAAATACACTAAGGTATGCTTGAGGCATTTAAAAACGGAGGACTTTCAGAGATCGCTAGGTGGAACCTGGAGTCGTTCTTACAGTATTTTTGTGGCGCACGTCTCGTAAACGAAAGCCCCTGCCATTCAGACATTTAGTAGCAACAGGTTTTGACGATATCTCAGAGGCTGTTAGCGAGAATGAAGATAATTTGGAATCAACTCAAACGGACAAGACTTTGGTCATTGAAAATACAACTCAGACTGAAGACAAAGTATTCGAAGACAGAGAATCTCAAACAGAACATAACAATTTAATTGTAATGATGGAAAATGAGATTGCTGGTATGAAAGCCGAGATTGATAAACTTATGAAACAGACTGGTGAACTGAAAGCTAAACTACTCAATGTTGATAGATTTCATTCCAAGTCATCGTCAATCAGCTTTTACACCCGATTTCCTGACTTTGAGGTGTTTAAAAAAGTATTTGACTTCCTTGATCCAGGCGAATATGGTCAAAACATTAGGTATTGGACATCTTTAAATACCGAGGAACCTCCACTTGATATTTACGACAACGAACACGACAGTAAATCAGAAAAAGGATGAACAAGAGCTCTTAAGGCAATTGCTGAGTTTTTCTTAGTGATGTGTCGTTTTAGACAAGGCTTTGTTGAAGAGCACCTGAGTAATCTGTTCCATATTTCACTATCAACAGTAAGCCGAATTGTTACATCCTGGGTCAATTTTATGTACCTTAAATTTGCTCAGATTAATATAATTATGGCACTCAAGAACAGTAATTGGCAACACCATGCCAGAAGCTTTTAAAGCAAAATACTCAGCAACAAGGGTTATTATTGACTGCAATGTCAAATGTACAATCTCAAATGCCAAGCATTTTACAGCTTAATGGGGAACTCTTTAGCAATTACAAAAATTACACAACACTGAAAGGTTTAATTGGCATCTCACCAGGCAGTGCAATGGTTTTTGTGTGAGCTTTACACTGGCTCAATACCTGACAGAGAAATTGTTGTTCGCAGTGGCTTTCTGGACTTGCCATTTGATGACATTTGTTACAGCCGATGAAGGATTTACCATTGATGACCTAATGTTACCTTTAGGTGTGCATGTGAAACTGCCTCCATTTCTTCGTGGTTCAGACCAGATGGCTGCAGATGTTGTGGCAACACAAGAAACTGCCAGTCTTCGCATCCACGTTGAGCGGGCAATTAACAAGATGAAGAACTTTCAGATAGGGGATGGTGTTGTCCCTCTTCATCAGATTGGTCTGGCAAATCAAATGTGGGCTGTTTGTGCATTTCTGTGCAATGTACAGCCCAACATCATTTCAGTTTAAGAAAATAAATCACTGAAGAGCCTTAAAATTACATTTTAAAAGGAGTAATTACAGTTTTTAATATAACAAAGTTATCTTATACATTGTTATAATTTATAAAATTTAATGATAATAAAATGTTTATTATAAATAACTGCAACCATTTGTTTCAAATTTAATCCATGTAGATCATTATGTGGTACAATATTTCTGCTACTCTGTAACCACATATTTATAATCAAGTTATATACAACTCAATGTAAAGAGATTTAAATCACAAATTGCTGGTTAATATTAAAACTACTCACTCATTAGAAGTATTTTCATTTACTTCACTATTTTTGTTTGTAGGTGCTTCTTCAATAGAGTGTGTGCGGTCACATGACTATGACGTCAGAGAAATTTTATGGCCGCCATACGCCTTATTCATAAGTGGCGCACGCGCAGTTAAGACCTGAGCCGAGTTCACCAAAACGAGGCTTAGGAGGCATCGCAAGAAACATGGCGTCGAAGTCAAACATTTACTGTTGAGTACCATTGTTCACACAAAGAGGGGGTGTTGGATCAAAAGGAGAACAAATTGGATTATTTAAGTTTCCAGACGAAGAGGAAATGAAGAAACGTTGGATACATACTATACGTAGAGATTTTGGTAGATTTTTTCGCATCTCCGAGGCATCAAAAGTGTGTTCGTTACATTTCAAGCTTAGTGACATATCAAAGGGTCTTGGTGGACAAACGTCTCTGAAGACAAATGCAGTTCCGTCGATATTTGCTTAGAAACAAACTTCACCACGAAAGTGACCGCCCCCTACCGAGAGGCCTTATCTACGACTGCGAAAAGAGAAGAGATCTGTCCCAGAAAAAGAGTCTTCCTCAGTGTGTTCGGAGCCTGGCAAAACACCTGAAGCCGCAAACGATATTCCTGAAACAGGTACTAACGAAACCACTATGTTAGGAGCCGCCGGTACCAGTCTTAATAAAATGCCTTCCACTGAAAAAGATCTTAACGGGACCCTCAAACAATTAAGGCCACTTGAAAAAAATGCGCAAATCTCGAATATATAGTTGCAGATTTGGAAGACAAAAATAAAGCACTTCAGTCAAACGTCTTCTCACTTAGTCGGTTTACCTCTGATGAGGCAATGTTGTTTTATACAGGCTTTCCTAACGACAAAGCATTCTTGGCATCCTTTGAATATTTAGATCCGGGAGATAATGGAGAAAATGTCAGGTACTGGTTATCAGGTGAAAATGAGATACCCTCAGAAACACTGTGTCTCCACCACAGTTAGGTGTAAAGAGAGGTAGACCAAGATCAATCAAACCGCAAGAAGAATTTTTTCTCACTTCGTGTCGCTTAAGGCGGATTTTCAGAAACCCACCTTTCCCACCTGTTTAATGTTTCTCAGGCAACTGTTAGTAGAATTGTTATTAGTTGGATCAATTTTATGTATCTTCGATTTGGAGTGCTTAACATTTGGCCATCAAGAGAAGCTGTCAATAGAAAAATGCCTGAAGACTTCAGGAAGTTATATCCAAGTACAAGAGTTATTATTGATCGTACAGAAGTGAAGTGTGCAATGCCTAGTAGCTTGTTGCTGAATAGTGAGTTGCTCAGTGCCTACAAGAATCATACTACACTAAAGGGGCTTCTGGAAATTTCTCCATCTGGTGCTATCACTTACATAAGCCAACTGTATACAGGAAGTATATCAGACAGAGAAATTGTAGAAAGGTCAGGCATGCTTGACCTGCCATTCAATGAAGGAGATTCCATGATGGCAGATAAAGGTTTTACTATAAGTGACATCTTACCTTAAGGTGTTTCTTTGAATATTCCACCATTCTTGGGAACATCCACACAAATGTCCTTGGAGGATGTTGTGAGAACTCAGGAGATTGCATGATTGAGGATCCATGTCGAACGTGCAATGAATAAAATTAAATTTTTTCATATATGGGATAGCGTTGTCTCACTGAATCTCTTTGGCAGTGCAATTCAAATGTGGTCTGTTTGTGCATTTCTTTGCAACAATCAAGACCCAATTTTAACAAGCTGACACAATAGA